AAGAAATGAGTAGAACTAAATTAAAAATTAGGAAAAATCAAAACGTCCATAACAGTTTTGATTTTCACTTTTCTTTTGTTTTTTTTTTTTTTTTTTAAAATTGATAGTAAACTTAAAAGTATAAATTACAAATACTCTTGAATTTGGTCAAATATATTCTACACCCGCGATTAAAGATTTAAAGAGTGTATGCTTTACCCTAACTAAAACTCCAAATTTTCTTTTTTTGAAAGAGTTTAAAATATATATTAACTGTCCAACTATTTCAATAAAGAATTCGAGGTTAATGTACGTGATATATATTACTATAGTTCATTAATTTCTCCTTGAGCAACAAGTTGCATGAACTTGAATCCTTAATGGGATTTGCAAAGAATATAATTTAATTAATGGTAATTCAAAGTGATGAGCTTGTATGAGATTTAATTTATTGCATGGCTTCATAGATTGGGGTTAGGGTTTTGTTTTTATAGAAAAGTTATAAATGGTTTCAGCCTATATATGGGTTTTTTAGGGTTTACAAAATATATACTTCTCAAGAAGAGTTTCTTGAACTTATTACAAATTTTTTTCTTTTTTTAAGTTGGAAGTTGTCTCAATTAAAATCTAGAATTTTTTAACATATGTTTTTAAAGTACGGGTTAAACTTCATTAAATGTAGTATTTATAATTAATTTTGCATAAATTTGTATAATAGATTTAATTACAATAAAACATAAAATGTAAAAATAAAATAGCATTAAATATTTGTATTTAAAATATGTAAATATGTATGAATTTGATATGAAAATTTGTACAAAATGAATTAAAAATATTATAATTAATAAAGTTTAATGTGAAACTTTTAAAATCTCAAGGCCAAAAATTCAAAAAAACATATTGTACTTAATTATTCTTAGTTGTGTATATAAATTTTTTGCCAAAAATTATATAATTTATATTTTTAAATTTATTATTAACTTATTATTACATTTACTATTATTGATACCTATATAATAACAACAATAATATAAACAAACAAAAAGATTGTCTTTATTAGCATTGATTTAGTAAATCATGACTAGCTAAAGATGGACTTAACCAAATAAGTGCCATAAAAAACATCTCATTCCTCTCTTATAAAACCCTAACCCTATCTTATTACAAACTCTTATTTAAAAAAAAAATATATATATATACGAAGTAGAAATTAAGAGTTAATTTTGACTGAGAAAGTAATTAAACAATCTATACTTCTCGCCCTTCGTTACCTTTACTTGAGTTCTAGCAACATCCTGCTAAAACAGATATAACTAAAATCACCAAGACGACCAGCCCTGCCACAATGAATATGTAAATATTCATTGTTTCTCTTGCTTATGGGTGGATGAGGATTGTGTAGTGTGGGTAGATTAAGTAACAACTAAAATAAACTCTACTCATTAGCTTGTATGAGAGTAGTGCTAAACTTCAGGGAGATGTGCATATATGTACTAATTAGAATCCTAAACTGTCTAGTATTGTTGTGGGACCCATGTGGGACCCACGCAAAGTTCAATGGCGGTGGCTAAAAGGTTTTCGATTTGGTACCAACGAGAGGTTGGATCAAGTGGTAAGCGGCTTGTTCCAGCTTAAGTAAGGTTTCGAGTTCGAGTCCTTGTGAATGCAGCAGCTCTCGCTGGGAGACTCACCCACCATTTCCAGGTGCGCGATACGGGTCGGGTCCGGATTAGTCGGGGCGAAGTCCCAAATACCGGACGGGAAACTGAAAAAAAAAGTTTTCGATTTGGCCTCTCTGTTCGGCTTTGGTAGCCTACATCCGTAAGGATTACTCCATTTGTCTCAAATTGGGTTATGATTGAAAGGTTTTCACTTCAATTGTCCATGCTAGATGATGCAGCGAGGGTTATATTTTATTTTATAAGATCTTTATTTTATTTTATAAAGCAAATCACATGATTTTATAACCATGCATGCAGGCTATGTCATTTGTCTCATTTCAACAATGAATTTC